CGATTGGATCGTCAATAACCTCGTCACTTATACAAAGGATCTACGCATCTTTCTGAGTGATGCTGAAGTGCAGAACGACTGGGAATTTCAACGTCTACGGTTCCATTACTGTGGCTTGATGGAAGAGTTATTCGAGGGAATCAATCGGACCAAAGACCCGTCTCACTGGATCCCTTTCGAGTCACGAAAATCGGCTTTCTCGCTAATGGAAGATTGGTGCGGATACTCGCCTAATCAAGCACAGATTTCTCAAAGGGAAGAGAATATGCGAAAATTCGCCATGGCCCATCAGTCTGAATCTGGGGAGTTTCGGAACACAGCAGCTGCAATGGAGATCGAGAAGAAGAATCTCCGCGCAGCAGCTCTTAGTGCAATGGCCTCCTTATGCGTGAGTAGTTGAGACGATTGTGGTCCTTCAGTCAGTGGCTAATCTTTAACAGGCTGGACCAATTAGTATCACTACGGAAGGTGGCTCAGTGCTTCAATTCGATGTGGGGAGAATGCTTTCTTGGATTGATATCATTTTCAACACCATCAGCGATAAGTGGCACGCAATCGGTAGACGAGCGCTCAAGAACTTGATAATCCACAACAAAGAGCATTCTTACCTACTAGAGAGAGCAATCGAGATGTGTTACGTCGCGGAAAGACCGAAAGCGCTGGAAAGTTACTTTGAGGTGGTGACCCAAGTGCTGATAGAACATACCGACTACCCACTTGGCTTCTGGAGAATCCTGGGCGCCGTACTCGTCACGCTGGGAAATCAGAAGCGGGAGATCCGAATGAAATCTGCCAAACTTCTTCGCATATTAGAGGAACGTCAGCAGAAGAGTTCCAGACTTCAGGACTTCGACATCAGCATCTCTGATAAGACCACTGCGGTATACAAACTCGCTCAATTCGAAACATCCCGGCGGCTAGCAAAACAACACTCCGATTTGGCCTTCACCTTGTTCTCAGAGTTTTCGCTGCATTTTCGGAATGTGGGCCCTGATAGCCAGCGAAATATGGTGGCTGCAATTTTACCTTGGGTTCAAACCATGGAGCTGCAAATCGATCCTAATGGTGGTCCAACAGCTAGGTCGTACATGCTTCTGGCCAATTTGTTCGAGATCACTATTCGATGTGGCAACGTATTACCGAACGAGGTGCAAGCCCTCTGGCAGGCACTGGCAACAGGACCCCATGGTGGGAACGTACAGTTGGTTCTTGATTTTATCATCAGTCTCTGCTTAGAACGCAAAGAGCAGAACTTCGTCGAGTATGCCAAGCAAGTCGTCGTCTTCTTATCAGGGACACCTGCGGGCTCGAAGGTCATTGAATTCTTCTTGATGCAGGTCGTACCTAAGAACATGGTTCAAGAGAGGAAAGATATTACCCCAGCTCCGCCGGATGTCAAAAGCCTACCCTATGTGGCGGATCTAGGCACCGTGCTTCCCGTCGGTAATAAGCAAGCAGGCCTTTCGCTCGGCCAAGTGGCACTTATTTTCCTAGTAGATTTAATGGTTGCACCAGTGACTCTTCCATTAGAAGCCGTTATCAAACTGCTTCACGTTGTGCTCATTTTATGGGACCATTACATGCTCACGGTACAAGAACAAGCTAGAGAGATGTTGGTCCATCTTATCCACGAGTTGATTGCTGCCAAGATCGACGATGATGCACCCGCAGCAACAAGACAGGGCATCGAGGACTTCGTTGAGTCCATACGGAAGAGTGACCCGAAGGTTGTTTGGGAGTACGAAGACAATAATGACAAAGAGGACGGAGACGATGGCAGCAGAGTACCTCCCTCAATGTCCACTGTCACTCGTCAGGTCGTCAATTTTTTCAGCCTCGCATACGAGGGTGTCAGTGATCTCTGGGCCAAGGAAGCACTCAACTGGGCTACTTCATGCCCTGTGCGACACCTAGCATGTCGGTCGTTCCAAGTATTCCGCTGCATATCAACGTCCCTGAACCCGAGGATGCTTGCAGACATGTTGGCCCGGCTCTCCAACACTATCGCGGATGAAGAGGCAGATTACCAAACCTTTTCCATGGAAATTCTAACAACTCTGAAAATCATCATTAGCTCTCTTGCCCCCGCCGATCTCCTGCGTTATCCCCAGTTATTCTGGACGACTTGCGCTTGTCTCAATACTATTCACGAGACTGAATTCATCGAGAGCATTGGAATGCTGGAAAAGTTCCTGGACAGTGTCGATATGAGTGACCCCGCAGTGGTCACCGAGCTCATTCAAGGTCAGCCCCCCAAGTGGGAAGGTGGCTTCGAGGGTCTTCAAAACTTGGTCTACAAAGGGTTGAAATCCTCAGAGTCCCTAAATCGCACATTGGACGTCCTGCATCGACTAAGTGGTCTTCCAAACAACGCGCTTATTGGGGATAGCGACAGACTGCTTTTCACAATCCTAGCAAATATGGCTCATTTTCTCCACCAGTTCGACCCGGATGTTGATGATCCAAAGACTCTTGCGCGTGCTACGTTGTTGGCGCGCGTTGCTGAGGGAGAAGGATGCCCGCGTTTCGCAGCGTCTCTTCTCGGACTCGCCAACGGACAATATAAGACAGAGAACGATTTTCTGAATCACATCGTTGCAGAGATGCGGTCTTACTACTTCCCTCGTCAGGACGTCCAGAGCCTGATTTTTCTGATGGGCCTCCTGACAAATACCGCTAAATGGTTCCGCGTTAAGATCATGAAGATCCTCTGCGTGTTGATACCTGAGATTGACATGCGGCGGCCCGAGGTGACCTCGCATGGACCTGACCTGATTTCTCCGCTTCTACGACTTCTACAGACCGATCTTTGCCCTCAAGCTTTAGAAGTCATGGATCACATCATGACTGTTTCCGGAAATCCTATGGAGCGCCATCACATTCGAATGAGTATGGCCTCATCCTCGTCCTCTCGTGCCATCCGCAAAGAATATGAGAAGATTCAGAGTCTCTATGGCATTCCAGAACCTACTGGGTGGTCCATACCCACGCCTGCCACTCAGTCAAGTGTCACACGGCATAATGTTCACGCTGTATTCTACACTTGTGCTGAGGTGGACCCTATGGAAGTGCAAGAGACTGTCACACCGGAAGTCGAATTCCACGCGGATGAATACAAAGATTCATTCTTCCCCATGCGTGCAGACACCATGAAATCAATGGACACGCAGATGGACGGCAACATGGGAGACATTGTGCAAAAGCTAGACAGTCTAGATGACTTCTTCGAGGAGACGGAGCCTATCAACTCTGGACTCGATGTAATGCCAGACGCAACGTTGCGAGGCTTTACTGGCGCCTATGCGGACACAAGCGCGCATCTTTATGACCAGCAGACGGCACCCATCCTGCGCAAATCACTTGCGCGGACTGCATCAACCTCGTCGTTTCACAATGGTCTCGCTGAATCCCGACCGCCGAATCAACGCTTTGATAGTATGGGTGTTTATTCACCGAATACGCTGATGCCCCAGGTCTCGGGCCACACGTTGCGGCCCACATCACACGCTCGCTCCGTCACCTCGCCAGCTAACAACCTTTATACGCCAAGCTCGTCCAGTGTACAGTTTTCCACTCCACCTCTTGGCTTCAGCGAATCGGCATTTTTGTCCGATGATGAGTTTGAGGACGGGCTCTATGAGTTCGATGAGCGACTGACTAACAGCAAACCGCCGACCACCCTCCATAATAGTCAGGGCCGAAGTGTAACGGACGGGTCTTCGTCCCTTGAGTCTATGATTCGCAGCGGAATGAGAAGACTCACAGGCGGCGCGGCCGCAAACCGGGAGAAAGAGCGGCAACGTGACTTGATCAGAGCCCAACAGCGTGCAGCCGTTCAGATGGCGAACTCACCCCGGGTGCCGAAAGTGCCACCGGAATTCCTCACAGGGCCGACCAGCAATCCGACATCGCCAGGACAGTGATTGAGGTTGTCAGACTGTGTCTCAATCTCAGTCCATGCAATTTTTTCTTGACTTTGCTCGGAACGATATATCTGCAATTGTTAAGTGGTTTCTCATGTTGGGTTGATATGGCGGGCGTTACACCACATTGATAGTCACAATACCCATTCTGTCCATTGATATTCCCTTATCTATACATTTCATAAATTCGTTCCATGTTGTATCTAGACTAGTGTATGCCATTGCATTGGGTGAGTGTCAACTATAGATGTATATGGGCATCATTTGCCAACGATACTGGCTAGAGGAGGCCCAGGTGCCTTGGACAAGGACATGATATTTCTCTCGATATTATCAATATCTTTCAAGAAAATATTCACTTAGTGGTGTATATAAATCTGTTCTGCTGAAGGGTACCTAGACTACCCACAAACTAGTACGGCCGGGAGGGTACTTCGGGCCATAATACCTGAGGTAAATATACAGCAGTACATCAGATGCACGTGATGCTGGGTTCTCCGCGCTCTGCCGTGGGTTTCCCCGCACGGAACGTCGAGCGGATCAGCGGAGAAGCGGGCAAGGCTGCTCTGGTCTTACAATTCTGGTGATTCCATCCATCCACGCGAAATCGGCTCCACTCTTCTATCCCTCACTTCATGGCAAGACTCGGAAAGCAGCGGAGAAGAATGCTCACTCTCTCTCTTTATTTGATCCTCGGGAATACCTCTGCAGGAAATTGTACCGTAACACCGAACTCGATGCGTTACCTGACCACCGTAGAACACCCTTGATGGTCATTCACCGAGCTGAGCGCCAGATCTAACATTGTCCCATCACACTTATTCCTCTTGACTTTCTCTTCGCTCGTCTTGGTATAGCCAGGAAAGAGTTGGTAAAATCGATCAATTCGTCTGATAACGTCGAAACTTGAAAATGAGTCTCGCGTCGACTGTGTCCCTTCGAATGCGGGGATTTTCTGTCCCTAAATCATTGCCGACTTCATTATCGGCCGTGACACAGCTCCAGCGGTCTCCGGTCAGGACGTTCTCTACTACTCTGCAACGTGATGCAACATGGGGATTCATCGGTTTAGGACAAATGGGTATGTTAACCTAGTTTGTTGTCTTAATCGCTCCTCTTCTTAGCCCGTCCTGATCGAACGGATGCTGTGCGTTAATTTTCCTGGAACGACACTGAATCCACGCGTTCATGTTCTCTTTTGACCACTTTTCTGAAGCGAAGGGGTTATGGATCTAATTGCTTTCTCTCTTTATTTGTAGGCTACTTAATGGCCAAGAACCTACGTGCCAAAATTCCAGCTACTGACACGCTGATTGTGCGTGATGTGAATGAGAATGCCACGACGAGGTTTGTGGAGGAGACAAAGGAGGCTGCGAAAAGCAGTGGTGCTGCAGATGGCGCAATGAAGGTCGAGGTCGCCCAGAGTGCTCGAGAAGTTGCAGAGCAGTCGGTAAGTCAAACGTCCTTGATTCATTAGAACTTGCGTTCCCGTTCAAAGATCAAGGAGCTGCATGTTCTCTGATACCCCGAGTGTACTGTGCTACAGGGCGCAAAGCTGCTCCAGTGGTTCTCCAGAGTTTTTCTGAAGTGTTTTGGAACGCGTATATGTGTATCTCACTTAGTGATACTGATACTAAGCTCCTCCTCTACAGACCGTTATGATAACCAGTTTGCCGGAGCCAGAACACGTCAAGGATGTCTTCCATTCGATCATGAAGCACGGTGGCCTACCCGCTCTGGAGGAAGAGCGCCTGTTCATTGATACATCAACCATTGACCCCGCCTCGTCGAAGGAGATTGCGAACGCAATTCACACGACACGGACAGGGCGCTTCGTCGACGCTCCTATGTCAGGAGGAGTAGTAGGTGCTCACGCAGGTACATTATGTTTTATGTTCGGAGCATCGTCTCAAACAGGCCAGCTCGTCGAACGCGTGAGAGCGGTTCTAATGCTTATGGGAAAGAAGGCCTGGCATCTGGGACCTCCCGGGGCAGGCGTATCGGGGAAGCTTGCCAACAACTACATCTTGGCTATAAACAACATCGCAACAGCCGAGGCCATGAATCTCGGAATTCGCTGGGGCCTGGATCCCAAATCTCTCGCAGACATGATCAATACCTCCACCGGCCGCTGTTGGCCAATGGAAGTCAACAACCCTGTTCCTGGCGTCGTGGAGACCGCTCCTGCATCTCGAGGATATGAGGGCGGGTTTGGAGTCAGCTTGATGAAAAAGGATCTCAGATTAGCAATCACGGCGGCGAAGGGGTCTGGCACTCCCCTGGCCCTGGCTGAAACTGCTCGCGAGGTATACAATTCTGTCGAGCAGGAGTACCGAGGCAAGGACTTCTCGGTCGTGTACAAGTGGCTGCAAGACAGGTCAGAGCAGTAGAGCTGGTTGTATCCGCTAGATGATCTGTTCAACATATCTCTTCTGTTCTGATTCCCCCTGCCGTTTGCTTTCGTCTTCTCATTCTTGAACTTCCTGGGGCTTTTCTCATCCTGCCTCGTCTCGCAAAGCATCTTATCATCGTAGATTGGGCTCTACGAAATATAGATGTGTTGGTCTTATCCCATATACCTTTGCATTTACTAGAACGCTCTCAGCACTACTGCTAAGTGTCTTGCAGTATATGTATGACCTATACTAGGGCAGATCTATTATTTCTCTATCGACTTAGCGGCTTCGTCCATCTGATTCTGGACATAAGGAGAATCTATCTTTGCTATTCATTGTTGCCTGCATCACTTGGTAATGATGCCTCTAGATAGCTGCCTCGCACTCCTATTGTTGTTGTGCAGACGCTTCTTTTGCCATGGACAGGTACATGATGTGATTATTCAGGCTACATATTGATGCCTCGGTTCACCCGCTTCTCTGGTCTCGACCAAGTACTCAATGATTTCCTCTTCTCTTCCCCTTCGCTTTCCTATTCCTTGAACTGTGGCTACCTTCCTTCCTGCATTATCAGTGTCATCTTTCTGGCCTCCCGATAACCTCCTTCTTTATTTGTACGTTCTATAGGTTGTTCTTTCTGGGATCTTGCCGCTTGTCCCAGAGCTGTTCTTTCTGTAAACACGACGTTCTTTCTGGTTCTCTATACTTGCCCGACAGGACTCTTCCACCTGTTGTCATCCCACATTCTCTCGCATTCTTCTTCATCATCCCATTCTCCTCGTCAGCAATTCATCCTCTCTGCTAGCAACCTTTCGTTACCAGTCATCTTTCTGCCTCTATCAGCTCTATTCATCGTCAGGAAACGGCTCTCGTTTGCCCTTTTACTTGCTCTCGTTACCACAAGGAACTCAACCATCATCGTCTTTATATACGAAGCTTCATCGCGAGTATAGGTGAGTTAACTACAGCACTCTTCCATCGGTACGCTAGCTGATGACCCTAGTTTGACCATCCAGCTGTCTTTTTGAACGGTTCTACAACAACTGCTATTGCTGTCCAATCCCAAAGTCAAGGTGCGTGTCCCCTGCATCTCATATAGCCTTGACCCTCGAGGTCACAGGTATCATCAGAGCATTTGAATACTCTTGCCCGAATGGGACACTTGAAAAGTGAAGCTTTATGCATTGCTAACTCATCTTGAAGATCCTTTTTTAGAAACAACCATCATGCAGACCCAAAGCCAACAGCATGCTGCTTCGGCCGAAGCTCCTCAAACCCAGGCCGGGCAATTTGCTCAAGACTCTCGTGCCCCCTTTGCAGCTGGCTACCAGCAGAACGGCCTTGCCAACCAGCCCGAGGGGTATCATGACGGTTCTGCTCCGCTTCAAGGAGGTTTGAACTTTCAGAACCAGCGTTCTGGGCCCAAGTACAGCACCCTCAAGGGCAACATGCCGTTCACGATGCCCCCAAACATGGACTTGTCTGGGGCCAACCGTGCACCCTACAATGGCCAGTTTGTCCTCTTCCCCAGTGGTCCGATGCTGAACGGCATTCCTCCTATTCCTTCTTTCAATCACACTTCTGTCCTTGGGCCAAACCAGCTGAGTCACCTTCCGTATCTTCCAGCCATGTATCCAGGTGCCAGTCCCAATTTTCCTATGGGGCCAGCAACAATGCAGGGGTATCCTTTTCCTTTCATGGCAGACAACAACCTGCAGAATCTGGCTGGCCAGAAGCGGAACGGTTGGATCACTAGCGAGAACCAGAAGGTAACTGGCCAATCCACCTCTGAGTCTCCTGGCAACCAGTGTGAATTCTATCCTGGCCATGCTGTCTCCACCATGGATGGTTCCTCTATTCCACTTCTGAACTACAACGGCACCCTTCCGCAACCATGTCTCCCTTATCAGGTGATGAAGACGCCCAATGGCTACATGCTCCAGGATCTGGAGAGTCTCACCCAACAGGAACCTCCAATCCCAAGGGCCGTCCCCGCCATGTGGACTAACCCTTCGGAAGTAACGCTCGCAAAATGCCTCGAGAACCGCGAAGGTATTACCAACGTCTACATCAGAGGATTCTTGCCACAGACCACCGACGAAATGCTGCATTCCTACGCTGCCCGCTTTGGGAAAATCGATCGTTGCAAGGCGATTGTGGATCTGGACACGGGCCTTTGCAAAGGGTATGTCAAAGCAGCCTTCAGTGCGTTGGTCTGCCACGCTAACTTCGCTTCCAGATTCGGTTTTGTCCAGTTTTATAACTTCGAGTCATGCGAGAATTGCATCCGGGGCTTTTTTTATCTTGGATACCAAGCAAGTTTTGCACAAGTACGTGCCGTGAATCAAGGCCATTCGGAGATTCGCAAACGCTAACATAGTTCAGAAATCTCGCAATTCACGCCTGAAGGATCTTGAGGACAAGACGTCAACCAACATCTATTGCACTAACATTCCGATCACTTGGACTGAGGCTGTAAGTACGGTGGCCTCACCCGAAACGACCTTCTAATATATGTCCAGGACCTCCGACATCATTTCGAGCCGTACCGTGTTGTCTCCGAAAAGATCAGCCGTGACGAGAAAACTGGCGTCAGCAAGGAGGTCGGTTTCGCTCGGTAAGTGTTCACTCACTAGGTTATATCCCGCTGCCACGAATCTGACTTCATCTCAACAGTTTCGAGACGCGTGAAATCGCTGAGAAAGTGTTGGGCGAATTCCACAACATCGCCAAAGGTGGAGTGAAACTGCTCCTCCGGTTCGCAGACACGAAGGCACAAAAGATGTTGAAACAGCAAAGCAACGAGCGCCGTGCATACCGTGCCGGAGAGTACAACTACTCCGTTGAAGTGGTGCAGGGCTCTACTCCATCGCCTTCTCTGCACCGTCTCCAGCAGACCGCCAATCATCTCAGCCCTAACTCCCAGGTCAGCTATCCATCGCCGGTCGGAGTAGGTTCCACTTGGACTCCTGCGACGTCCATCTCCCCGTCGTATGTATGAAGGATTGTCTGGTACATATGCCATGAGCGGTCTAACGATATAAGCAGGTACCAGTTGATGAAGAATCCGGCTAGCAACATGCCTTTCAGCTCATGGTCAACCAGGAACAGTCCAGCAACTTGGGAGACCACCCCGGTATACCATGGACGACTCTATGACCGTCATGCTGTGCCAAACAATGCTTCTGCTAGCTCTTCCAAGACGGTTATGCCCAGCACTCCGTGCGTCAAGGCTCGATCGCAAGGCTCCAGTCCCCAGAAGGAGAACATGGAGGTTGATTCTCTCTCTCCAATCTCCCACTGCAAGGATGCCATCATGACTTCTCCAAGGTCTGCTCTTTGAGTTGATGTTTCAAACTGCGTCTTACCCATCACATTGCTATGGAATATCTGTATCGTCACGACTCATAGGTACCGAAACGCCCTCGTCGTCAACCATGGCAGTCACTACAAGCATCATGACGTTCTATCCTCCGGATTATTTTACTTCAAGAGGCATTATCCTATCGACTGTATGATCACTGCTCTAGCTCGGCTATTGCAGAACTTTCTCCCATTCCACGTCCCTTACTCTTGATTCTTCTCATTCCTTTTTGTGCCTTCTGTCTTTGCCACTCATTGCAGGTTAATATTTGAGCGTTGCACGTGTTATCTTTGCGTTAATTTCTCGACACCGCAGTTTGATGTATGATCAACAAAATGTGTTATATAGAACTGCATATGTTACCGACTCGGCGAATCAAGCAGTGACAAATCCTCTTAAAGACGCAAAAATGGATTCCTGAATTCTTCATCTGACCAAAAGCGCAAGCTCGCTTTTTGTCTCGTTCAACAGGTTAGGACCTCCTAGTCTAAAAAAAATGATAACGGCTCTAGTCAAGTTCCGTGGGATTGGAACATCTTCGAAAATCATGCAAGGTTGTTGCACAGTCTATAGCTCTGCGGTGAACGTAAATCAAAAGGGCAACCGCTCAGCGTCCAGGGTTCTGGGGGAGAGGAGCGGTAAGAAGGGGTTAGAGACGACCGAATAGTGAAAGGGCTGTTGAAATCTCGCTATACAAAACGGGGCCGCAATGAACTAAAGATGGCGCCAGGCCGTTGAATTGCCGCTATTTGCGGCGTCCCAGCCTCTCCTCCTGGTCCTCGGTTAACTCGTAGGCTGGTCGATAGTGCTGGGATTGTGCACCATCTGCAGCGCCTTGATCCGGATCGACGCTGTCATTCACACGCAACTTGGGATTCGGGTGGGTATCTGTAGTGCCTCCCAGGCTAGTGTAACCTTGATCATAGAGAGAGCAATACTTAAGACCCAAGTGACGAATGAAAGCCCAGATCTCCGCGTAGTGCCAGTCAATGACAGGGTGAATGCGCATGAATTCAGGCCATCCGCTGTCGGTAGGATCGAAATGGGTCAGATTGGCCCCGTGCGGATCAGTGCGCCGGGTTCCGACGAAGATAGCCTTGATGGACGGGTTGAGGGAGAGGTAGTGCTCGAAGCTTGACTTGAGGGTTGTGCGGGGCGGCTCGGTGGTGAATCTCACGATTGCGAGGTGATAAGCGCGCGAGGACCACTGGACAAACTCCTCTACCGCAGGGAAAGAATCGGGTGGGAGGGCGTAGATGGCGGGGATATAGGCGAGCCCGCCTTCCTCCGGGGGTGTGTGCGGGTGGAGACTGGCGAGGAAGAGGATGAGCAGGACGAGACAGTCTTTGCCGCCGTTGTAGGAGAGGGAGAGTTCGGAGAGCTTGTAGCGGGATAGAGCTGTTGCGACGACGTCGAGGGAGATGCGGGTCTGTCGTTGGACGGCGGCCAGAAGGGAATCTGGGGGGTGTGATTCTTGGAGGAAGGACTGGACGCGGAGGTGGACGTCGGCGACGACGGCGGAGAGCGAGGGGGACGATTCGACTGTTGTTGCGGCGGTCGTCGACGAGGGGAACGAAGGGATGTTATCTGTTTCTTTTGTTGTCGTGGAGGGGGAGTTGGGATACTGTGGTGGAGGCTGTTGGCTGTTCACTGCGGTGCCATTTGCAGTTGGGAGCGCTGGAGGTGGCTCGAACGCAGATTCTCTCATGTCTTGCATCCCAATTGCTGGATTCTGTAGCAGTTCTGACGTGGGAAATATACTCCGCGTACTTATGAGCTATGTAGCTTTGGTAAAACGTTGTAGCGGGGGTGGAATGTGATGTCGCTGTATCACTGACTTATCGGCAAAGCCAGTGGTGTCACGGATGAGAGATAGGATCATATAGCCTGTCAAGGCCAAATTGCAGAGAACAAAGCAGTTTCTGTATACTACCTCATGGGAGATGGCTTCATATGAAAGGGTAATCAATGACAGCAGGTCATAAAAGGCATTCCCGATGGCGGAGAGACAGGCTGGACAATCTTCTGGTTTTCGAAATCAGCTCGGAGAAGTCCAACCCCGCGCCCCGCGTCGCCATCACCCACTGCGGGCCGATTGTTTGATCAAGAGTCCGAGGCACTTGCTAGACTAAGATCAACCAGTGCTATAGATATTATGTTCTCACTCTTGACATCGTGAATCGCATCCGGCGAATTGGCAAGTATGGACCGTGTGGAATGTCCCCATATTTTGCAGAGAACTTCAGGAGGCTGCAACGGTCATGAGGTCAATCTTATATATTAAGAACCGCTAAGATACACAATCCGATGTCTTGAAACATTGAGAAGATAAGAAAAACAACTAGAATAGAGGCATCCCAAACGCCAATTGACCACAGTCCGAACGATTCGGACATTGTATGCCAGATCATTAGCCTAGAACTTTCATCCTTTTCTTCTTCTTCTTGTCACCATCGGTCCCCTTCTTCTGCCCCTTTTGGAATTCTCGCCAGCTTCCAATCCGCTCATCTCGCGTATTTTCCCAAGCTTGCTCCCGGTCTCGCTTCCGTTTCCTTGCCTCTAACTCTTCTTCCTCTTTGCGCTGCTCTCTTCCTTCCTCCTGCAGCTTGGCTTTAAGCTGCCTTCGTCTGCGCGCTTCCTCTTCCAGCAAGACCTGCACAGTCTTTTGGCGCCATTCCTTTTTGAATTCCTCAGTCTGCAATTCGGGGGAGTCTACTGTGTACTTATGTTCCCGGATCAAGAGCCGACGCGCATCAGCGATACATTCATCCAAATACGCGCGGGCCTTCTCATCCAATAACGCCGTCTGAGCTTTCTTGAGCCGATCGAAGGCATCTGGGGCAGCAGGGTTTTTTGTCTTGTCGGGGTGAATGAGAAGCGACTTTTTGCGATACTGTAATTTGATGTCGGATTCGGCGACACCTGGCTGAAGATCCAGCACCGCATATCTTATAGGGAAATGGTCAGCAGCTAGACCGTAGAACGCACAGAAGATGTCGAAGAACAAGAGAAGTAAAGAAGAATACTCACGCATCTAATTGAAAAGCTTTTCGAATGCGATCGATTTCCGCATCCTACATGGCAGCACGTGTCAGTCTGACGCCAATTGCAGCTAGGTCCACTCGCACATACCTTGATGAAATCCGACGCCTCCTTCTCCAGTGCGTCCAAAGCATCTTGCTCATCGGATGACATTGTGAATTCAATCTTACAAAAGCCAGAGGCTTCAGTTACTCTGTCTTTGCTGTATGATCAGGAACAGTCCCCTGTAGTCTGAGAGCTGGTGAAAGCTGCCAATCTTATCTATAGCTGACTCAGCAGCGGAGAAAAAAAAAAGTTGCTTCACCGCCCGACGGCTGATTGTTTCATCGCCGACCAAAGACCATCACCATCCGTATCAGCGAGAATAATACCCTGGATACGGGCTCACGCGGACTATCATGGCTCCTGCTGCTGGTCCTCGCACTGGTAAACATGCAAAGCCACCACGATCAAAAACGTTGAAACGCAAGCGCGGGCAGGAAGAACTGTCATCCCTCGTCCAGCGGGTTGAAGATCTGGACCTCAAAGAGACCTTCAAATCCTTCTCCGATCTGCCTCTATCTGAACCGACTGCTTTAGGACTTGCTTCGTCGCACTACAAAACATTGACTGATATCCAATCCCGTGCGATAAGCCACGCGCTCAAGGGTCGAGATGTTCTGGGAGCCGCGAAGACCGGTAGCGGCAAGACGCTGGCTTTCCTCGTCCCGGTGCTCGAAAATCTCTACCGCAAGCAATGGGCTGAGCATGATGGATTGGGCGCTTTGATTTTATCTCCAACTCGCGAACTTGCCATTCAGATTTTCGAAGTTCTCCGAAAAATCGGTCGCTACCATACATTTTCGGCCGGTCTGGTCATTGGTGGGAAGAGTTTGAAGGAGGAGCAGGAGAGACTGGGACGGATGAATATTCTGGTGTGTACGCCTGGTCGTATGCTACAGCATCTGGATCAGACAGCACTCTTCGACACATATAACCTTCAGATGCTGGTCCTCGACGAAGCAGACCGTATCCTAGATCTGGGTTTCCAGCAGACTGTGGATGCCATTATTGGTCACCTTCCTAAAGAGCGCCAGACGTTACTATTCAGTGCAACTCAGACGAAGAAGGTTTCGGACCTTGCCCGGTTGAGTCTCCAGGATCCCGAGTACGTGGCTGTCCACGAGACGGCGTCTTCAGCAACGCCAACTAAGCTTCAGCAACATTACGTGATTACGCCGCTTCCGCAGAAGCTTGATACCCTGTGGAGTTTTATCCGAAGCAATCTCAAGTCCAAGACCATGGTATTTTTGTCTTCGGGGAAACAAGTACGATTTGTGTACGAATCCTTCCGACATTTGCAGCCTGGTATCCCGTTGATGCATCTCCACGGCCGTCAGAAGCAGGGTGGACGATTGGACATCGTGACCAGATTCTCTCAATCCAAGCATTGCGTTCTCTTCTCTACGGATGTTGCTGCTCGTGGTTTGGACTTCCCAGCGGTCGACTGGGTCATCCAGCTTGACTGTCCCGAAGATGCGGACACTTATATCCACCGAGTGGGACGAACAGCGCGGTACGAGCGGGACGGTCGTGCGGTTTTGTTCTTGGATCCCAGTGAGGAGGAAGGCATGCTGCAGCGTCTGGAGCAGAAGAAAGTACCCATCGAGAAGATCAACATTAAGGCAAACAAACAACAGAGTATCAAGGATCAGCTACAGAACATGTGCTTCAAGGATCCTGAGCTCAAGTATCTCGGGCAGAAGGCGTTCATTTCTTATGTCAAATCTGTCTATATCCAGAAAGACAAGGAGATTTTCAAACTCAAGGAACTGAAGCTGGATGAGTTCGCGGCTAGTTTAGGTCTACCTGGTGCACCCCGGATCAAATTCATCAAGGGAGACGATACGAAACAACGGAAGAACGCACCTCGAGCCGCAGCACACCTGGTGAGTGATGACGATGACTCGGACGAGGAGGATAGTGAGAAGAAGAGCAAGAAGAAGGAGGAACCACAGGTACGAACCAAATATGACCGGATGTTTGAGCGGCGGAACCAAGACGTCCTGGCGGAGCATTACTCGAAACTCATCAATGACGACGGCACGATGGTTGCACCCAATGCCGGTGCCGGGGCTGATGCGGACGAAGACGATGACTTCCTGTCCGTTAAACGCCGTTTCGACGCTGGTGATAAGGACCTTGGATCGTCAAGCGATGAGGACGATGAGGGTGAGAAGGGTGACAAGAAGGACGTCAAGGTGGTGCACATTGACGGCAGTACACCCCTGGTCATTGATTCTAAGCGTCGCGAGAAGCTCCTCAAGTCGAAAAAGAAGTTACTCAAATTCAAGGGCAAGGGAACCAAACTGGTCTACGATGACGAAGGGAACGCGCACGAGGTGTATGAGCTGGAAGACGAAGAGCAATTCAAGGCTCGCGGCGACGCCAAAGATCAACAGGCCAAGTTCTTGGCAGAGGAGGCGGAGCGCACACGCATGGCAGACATGGAGGACAAGGAAATCGCCAAACAGAAGCGGCGCGAGAAGAAGGAGAAACGCAAGGCTCGCGAGCGCGAGCTGCTCGCCGAAGCGGAGGAAGAAGAGAGACTGGTACAGCTGCCTCCCTACGAAGGGCACCAAGACGTCGATGGAGGATTCTCCGCCTCCGAGGACGAAGCACCCCGTCCCAGCAAGAAGGCAAAGGTTAAGTTCACCGAGGCGAACGACAGAGAGGAGGAAGCAGAGCCTTGGTACAAGAAGAGCAAGAAGTCCAGCGACAAAGCAGCCAACGCTCCTGCTCAAATCCAAACCCTGGAGGATCTGGAATCGCTCGCCACTGGCTTGCTTGGTTAGCGATCCTGTATCGACGATTTACGGATACATTTTCCTTTTCTCTTATTGCACTTTTCTCTAGCGGCGTAATAAAAGCATTCTTTGGTCCAAGGGGTGTTATATCAAGCTTTGTATATAGTGATAGCATAGACAATACTGTAAATGAGCATTATTATACAAACAGCTATCTCTATCCCCAGATCCCACTACCAACTTGGGGCATATTCCTAATTCCCTACTGCCAAGACAAAAAATGAAGCTTTTTCAGCCAAAGCGTGGCGTCGACCGTGGCGCCATGGGCTGCAATCCCGTCTGGTCGAACCAATCGTCAATTCTCCTGCTCTTCTTCAGCCCACAGCCATGTGCGGATGGTCCTTCTGGATCAATCGAAGATGAAGAGATCCAGAGCCATCTCAGTACGTAATTTTTATCATCACGCAATCGCCGCTAAACCCTCTCGAATGTAACGTCAAGACAGGGATTGACTTTGCGTCAAGATCGTTGCAAATGGCATAATCAGCCTGACAGCAGGAGTTTCTGCGTGAGGTTGTCCGCCTCTGGACTAACTTCTACTTATCTACTGCTGTTATGGGTGTTCGTCCATTTTTCAGTTGACTTGAAGGAGTTGAAAAATTGGAAAAGTCTGGCAGAGTCACGTGCTTATTTCCAAATCGGGAAGGGAAATATAGAACCAGTAGTCCAGAGGTGAGTCGGAGCCCTTCGAGCGCAGTTTCATCGATAGCATACTAACATGGCTGCTAGCCAAAAAAGACTCTTGGCCAATTGTGCCTGCTGGCGGTGGAAGGTAACCAAAGCGAGATTCTTGAGCTTGGCAGTGGTTTGGTGAGGAGTTGAGGCGCTTCTTCGCAGAGCTGTCTTCTGTCTGCACGATCGAAGCAAAGATGACAGTCTATGATATCGAAAAGTATCCTCCTCACGCTCCCCAGGAGCCTCTGAGCGACAAGGCTGCAGGCGCAGAGCCCTTCGAATTCAATCAACATGTCAAGGCCGACAAGCTCGCCCGTAAGCTCTCCGCCCGACAGGTGCAGATGATCGCCATCGGCGGCACAATCGGGACGGGCCTCTTCCTGGGAACGGGCAAAGCTCTGGCGACAGGTGGGCCGGCGTCGATGCTTATTTCGTATGCCATATGCGGTGGGATTGTGTTTGTCACGATGTTGAGTTTGGGTGAGATGGCGGCATTTATTCCCATTGCGGGATCGTTCTGCACTTTTGCAGGGTGAGTAGTCCATTGACGAATAGGGTGGGGAGTCGCTGCTGACCGCAGCAGTCGCTTCGTTGACGATGCTCTTGGGTTTGCTCTGACTTGGAATTACTGGTTTAATGACGCTGTCTCGACGGCGGCGGATGTCATTGCATTGCAACTATTGCTGCAGTATTGGACGGATAATTTTCCAGGCTGGGCGATCAGTTTGATCTTTCTGATTGCTGTTATTTTATTCAATGTGATGTCTGTGAGAGTCTATGGAGAGGTATGGTCATGGTATGCTTTTAACAAGAAGTTAGCTAACTCGCCGCAGATTGAATACTGGCTCAGCTTACTGAAGGTCATCACGATTATAGTATGCTCACATCCGCGCACGTTGCTTGTTTCCTTGGATCTGAGACTAACGCTTGCAAGATCTTCATCATCCTTGGGATTGCTGTCAACTGCGGGGGCAATAAGGAGCACAGATACATTGGTGACAAGTACTTCTATGTCGGCGATGCCCCCTTCGTGGGTGGAATTGGTGGATTCGCCTCCGTCTTTGTTACGGCATCGTTTGCTTAGTATGTCTTTTGATGTAATATAACGAAGGTAGAATGGAGCTGACTTCATCCAGTGGCGGCACGGAATCCATCGCCATCACAGCGGGAGAAACCAAAGACCCTGCCAAAAACCTGCCCCGTGTTGTCCGCAATGTCTTTTGGCGCATCCTCCTCTTCTACATCATCTCCATCATTCTCATCGGTCTGAACGTGCCCTACAACTACCCCAACCTGTCGGAGAAAAGCACCGCCACCAGCCCGTTTACCATCGTCTTCATGGAAGCCGGCAGCGCCATCGCAGGCAGCTTTATCAACGCCGTGCTAATGACGAGCGTCATCTCCGCCGCAAACCACGCCCTCTTTGCCGGGTCCCGGCTTCTCTACACCCTCGCGGTAGACGGCCACGCCCCTCGCTTCTTCGGCCACCTCAATCGCTTCCAGATCCCCTGGGTCGCCGTCCTGGCCACATCCCTCATCAGCGGCCTGTGCTTCGGAGCCAGCTACATCGGGGCCGGACAGCTCTGGACATGGTTGCAAAAGTAAGCCCCCCCACCACCCGCAAATATGTCAACAGCCCTAACGGTAGAAACCAGCCTCGTCGGCGTCTCCAACCAAATCTCCTGGGTCTGCATCGGCATCGCCTCCCTCCGCTTCCGCGCCGCCATCCGCCGCCAAAACCTCGAGCACCTCCTCCCCTTCAAGAACTGGACTTACCCCGTCGGCCCCATCATCGCCGTCGGCCTGAATATCGTCCTGATCCTCGTGCAGGGCTGGTCCTGCTTCAGCCCGTCCTTCCAGGCCGTCGACTTCGTCTCCTTCTACATCGAGATCCCGATCATGCTCGTCATGTTTCTAGCTTGGAAGCTGGTCAAGCGGACCAGGTTCGTGCATCTCGATGAGATGGACTTGGTCACGGACCGGTATGATCTGCATGAGGGGCATGATGGAAGTAATGGCCATGGTGATAGTGCAGAGAGACCGTCTCGGGTTGGGAGGATTCTGCATATCAAACAGGTGCAGACTGAAAAGGGCGTGCTTGGGAAACTCAAGCGAGTCGGGATGTGGTTGTTCTTATAGTATAGGTGGTTTTCATTCCATTCCCGTTCCTGTTCATATTTGTACTTGATGATGTGTATATACGTGACTTGAGCGAATGAGACACGACACGAACTCATGACTCTGCCTACTTTGTCACTGATCAAGGATGGATCGATGTGCGGGAAGACAACTACAACTATTCCATCTCCGTAGCATTGATCTCGATACTACCTGTACAATCTAGGCACAATACAACCCTCAGACGAGTAAGCGGCAGTTCCAACATCAAACAACTTTATTCAACTGCCGAGTATCCCTCGGCCATATAGTCACAAACACTAGATATTAGGCCATCCGTCCAGCAGGATACCAGAGCCAGTCTGTGGGTATGTATAGTCTATGAGACATATAGAATGCTGACAAAGGGAACCAGGAAATAACGAAAACAGAAAATTATGCATATGTCCCGCTCCCCTCCTATGCATTATGCAGCAGTGTGGATGATCGAATACAGCAATGCGGATGGTGTGACCCCATGAGAACTCCGAGAATACAAAGGAGACAACCCAACGGACGCAAAAACGCCAGAGATGAACCTTGACCTTGATGAAACGGAAAGTATGGAAGACGAGGACGATCGTGGAATATGAAGCGGCCGATGTATAGTGTAAACAAGGCTAAAACTCCGAGTAGTAGATGTAAAAATGCCAATGCTGGAGCGCATGCAAACACCAGGGATATCGAAAACAAAGGAAATAGTGAGTCGGTGGGTGTGAGCTGCTTACAGCAGCGATGAGTGGTGATCAAATCGTACAGCGAATTAAAGTGGGAGTTGGAGATACACGGACAAAGGAAATGCAAGCATCAGGGTCGTTCAAGTTCCCAGGACGTGCTACAAGAATAGATGTCTTGAGGAGGTCTCCGGGGCTTCCAAGAGGCCAAAATCGAAGAAGAGGCCAATGTGGACCCATACTAAGTCCTCTCGATAAGGAGACGATCAGTCGTTCACCATATCATCCAAGGCCATCTTTCGCCTCTTGGTGGGCCTGGATTCGCCTGTTTCGGGTCCCCCAGCTGGTTGTTCGTCCCGAGGACGAGCTGGAGACGACAGCGCTGAAAGATTTTGTGCTCCTTGTACAATTGAATTTGATTGTTGCGACCCTAGGTCTCCGTGGCCGTGTTCAAGCGCCGCGTGACGCGTTTGCGCGGCAGGAGAAATTGGTTCCATAAAACTGTGCGGCGACGACCCTCCAGTCTGCTGCTGTGGTTGTGGCTGCATCAGCTCCTCACGGAGTCGAGGCGACCACGCTGTCGGGTACGGATCGCTCAACCGATGTGCCTGTGGTGTGGGACGAGAGTGCGTCATCGCTGGAGGGAAAATAGGGGGCAACCGGACTGGAGATTCCGGGTATGCTTCGCGATTGTCACCCGCCGGCAACCGGCTCACCATTCGTGGACTCACCGTGTATGGCGGCATGGGCACACCGAATGGTTGTTGATATTGCGGTGGAGACGTGGTAGGAGGTAATCCCTGGTGAGTATATGAAGAAAGAGGCCTTCCTGCGCCCATTGGCGTGCGACCGAGATTGAGCGCAGGACTGAAACCGCTTGTCAGAGGAATAAAACCTGGCGGTGACGCAACTGTCATTTGTGGTATGGAACCAGAAGAAGGAAAGCGCCTATGTCCCAGGTTTCCCTGCATCGATAATGAGGGGTCCACGACCTGGGGGAACACGGAAGTCGACCACCTGTGAGGGTGTCCCGGCGGAGCCCTAAACCCGACTGCCCCGTGCGGTGTACCAGGCATCTGAAGGTCTGTCACAGGTCGAATTTCGCGGGAGCCGGTGGACCTATGCGTATGAGTGCGTCTGGGAAGAGGGGTCTGCAGCTCTCCAGATGTCGCCGCATTCTCTGCCTGTGATGCGTACGTCCTGAGAGACGCATCTTCAGCTTTCAGTGGCGGTCTTCCTCTTTTCTTATGCGTAACATCAACACAGGTAGCCTTTTTTTGTTCACCAGTATTTCATCTTAGCAACAAACTCGGTATCAGGTGGACTAGAATAGAATGGCTTACCTCCTTTCCCGACAAGACGCACCTTCGACAAGGCCGGGCAGGATCGCACCCTAGATGCTTCTTCTTGCAATTAACACACGCCGATGCGACGTGTGCTTTAGTGCGCCTCGTCCCTTTTGGCAGCAGCTCCCTAGCAGTCGGTGAGGTTCCGAAACTTGAGGACGGAAACGTCGTCGAGGGCTCTTGTGCTGCTCGTTGTTCGGTGGTCCCAAGCGGCGCCTGGGAACCAGGGACGGTTTCATTGAAGGTGAATGGTGGTCGTATCTCTTCTCTAGTGGCCGGGGCCACATATTGTTGGAATGCTGAAGTATGGCCTGTCGCGGGGCCTGAAGATCCCGATGCTAGAGCCGTCTCTGACACAGACGCGTTTGTCACCGCTGGCGCGGTTACTGACACAGCCGTAACTGTTGGCAGTCCTGTTGTATGAGGGTCTGGTCTGACGTGTCGAGGAGTCTCCAGCGGGTCTTCTGCCGGGACCGAGCTGGACATAGGGTGAACGGGTGGAAGGTCCCGGGGATTGCACAGACGAGCATTTGTCGGTAGCGTGTAATTAAGAGCAAGCCGTTCGGAGGCTGAGCTGAACCTTGGATGTCCAAATTGTGTGCTGCTGAGGGCTGTAGGGGGAAGGACGAGTGATTGCATTTGGTAGGTTGAGGGGGTCCCCTGGTGCTGTAAAGGAACTACGACTGAAATGGTTTCAAAGGAACAGAAAATAAGCTAGATCTGATGTTGAAATAGGCAGCATATCTGGCATGGAGAAAGGCTTTCGGGAGTTGCAGCGTCTATCCAATCGCAATAGTTCTTCTCGATCGCCAGTCGTCATCTGAGATTCTCACGCTTACAAGTCCAAGGACTGGAGGAGCTTATAATCAGTCAGGACAATATCCGCGATTGGACAAGTCATAAACTAGGGTGTGTCGATCATTGAATTATGCCCACAACATGACAGCAGTCTCCATAGGTTCGGCGGTTCTCATGTAGGGTTGATTTATTGCAGTATGGGAAGGGCGATCAATGGGGCTAGGCAGGAGTATAGAGCGGGACATTTTCAGCGAAAGAAGGAAAGAAAGAAGGAAACGGCGCGAAAGGAAAAGCAAATATGCCTTACCTCCGAGTCACGATGCATGCTGAAAATTGGGCCCCAGACGTTATGGCTTTCGGGCGAACTTTGGAAGAGAGACCACTACCCAAAAGGGGGAAAAAGGGAAAAACGGTGAACTATACGGGGCAATGAGACGCACCACTTGGTTCTGCCGATTAATTTGAGAAGCTGACGGAGTGAAAAGAACAAATGAACAGTCAGAGGAGGCCTGAATATCGGTTTCTTTGTCTTTCTGGGGCAAGAAGTGGCGTACAGCTCATCAACCGCCAAGTGGAAGACTTGCTTCGAGCGAGGAGACAATAGTGATAGACAGGATGGTAGAGTCTGAACGATCTAGTCGTTCTTTTCTCGCAGGTTAGATTAGGCTTCTACCTTAAAACGGGAAAAGCTCTGATGCGCCATGCGACGTGAGGAAAGAGTGGGTTATAGTGGTGGCCAGTGCAACAGCGACTAGCAGCCGATAGCCTTGATCTCCATCACGGTAGATCTCAATGGAGTCAAAATGGAGGAGGGATGTTCTTCCTCTGGCACTCCGGTGTCCCGACGACGGAAGGGTGTCACTGCTCACTAGGAATGGGAGAATAGAGGGACAAATAGTAGACTGATAGTCGGTTCCAATCCTCCGGGGAGGGAGGGGGGTGTCCCCAGTCAAGGCCAATCAATAATAAGGCCTCAATGTTCAATGATGAGCCTCGACAGATCCGCAGTCACATTGTTGCTAGTAGTCCCTTTCTGTCTGTGGCATTTCGTTTCTTTTTCTTTTTCTTTTTCTTTTTCTTTTTCTTTTTCTTTTTCTTTTTCTTTTTCTTTTTCTTTTTGGTTTCCTGAATGATTCCGACAATCATTTTCTCATTTCCCTTGTTTCCTCTTCTTCAAGGGACTTCTCCAGATGGACCTCGATAGGGAATAAGGGTGCCGCTGCCAGTGACACAATCCCAAAAAGGTTAAACAACCTCTTGGGTCGATGTCGATGTTCCATAACATGCAGTATCTAGGTAGGAAGCAGCCTAGCAGGGCAGACCAGCTCACGAACAGTTGCTCCTGCGGAGTGGGGCAAGAAATTCAGCTCTGCTTTCCTTTTCCTTTCCCCCCCTTTTTTTTTCTCTATTTTTTCATTTTTCGTCTTCCCCTTTTGCTTTTGATGGAACTGAAATCATGGGGACGTCGCCGAATCAGGGAACTGGACGCAAGGCGAAAGGAAGCCCAGCGACGGATCGACGTCCGCGCCCGCCCGCCTGCAGCTTCTTGCCAATAGTCCGCTCGGCAGGGAGGCAGCTGTGCATTGTCATTATTCTTTAGCTCATTCCGGCCCAGTTTGACATGCGCTAAAAATCGAATTAGGATTTGGGAATTGGGACTGAGAAAAGTGAGGGAGCGACTCGCAAGAAGGTTCATCCCATCGCCAGGATATTTAGCTTGTCGGTCCAATCGTATCAGGCTATCAGCACAGAGCTGGTTGTCTGTGTAGCCTCACACATGAGACATGTACGATAGAAAGTTGAGAAGGATACACAGCACCGGCTGTTTTCCCTAAAAGCTCAAAAAAAGAAATCACCGAATCCTGTTTTCTGACCAATAGCACTGCGCCTGCGTTTTATTTTCTCCAGCTCGAGTCGTTGGGGCGGAGTATGCATTACCTAGCTAGATATTGGTGACGATCCAGCAATTCACAAGGAGCTGCTTATTTTCCTGAATGATCATCAGTCCAAATGATGATGACTTCACTTCTCTTCCCCTCATAGGGTTTCCCGTTCTCTGTTTTTCTCTTTTCATTGACAATGGTGAGCCCTTTCTTTTACTAGATTATCTGGCTTGAATGGAAGCGGTCTCTTCCTCCGTCATGATATGGAGATCTTTAGGAATGAATTCTGGTGGAATCTTGCTCAAGCCCCAGCCCCGGAATGCAGATCGCCGTGGAACTCGTGTGGCTCCGAGGGCACGGGACAGCATATGAGTTGACAACTTTGACATTTGAGCAGACAGACCTTGGACTCCTGGGCACACGGCGCTCTTGGAATTAATGAATAATCTTGTGTAAAGGCAAGTTCTGCGGAGTAGCTGTGGTAGCCAATGGGGTTTATCGTATGGTCAAAACGTCTTGACGCCAGACGCCAGTTCAAGCTTTCGAGCGAAGGGAAAAAAGCTACAATTCTCCGCAATGGCTATCTTCCAGCGGTTCGAGAGGGAGACCCACTGTCATAGCAACATGACAGAGTACTCCGTACATATATCTCGTATGAAGATATTCGATACTTCGTGCTTCATCTTTAGCGCTATAGGCTCGTTCGGATTGTGCTTTTCGATCGATGAGTTAGAAGAATGCGCGCTCTTGTTTCCATGACAAAGCTCATGAGTATCTAACTTCTGCTCTTCGCATCACAGCGTGGACTGCGGAGTCCACTCAGAGAGAACTGAAGTCGCACACAGCACCTGCAGAGTGCATAATGCAGTGTGCACCAATCTGGTTCGTCTGTTTTCAGATGCGGCCGCTCGGAGCTATTGGATCGACCGTCATTTCCCGGCGTAAGTAGGGTGTAGGACCGGTTCTATCACGAATCAGGATCACCAGTCTAGTACGGCTCTTATTTTCTAAGAAGCAAGCCAACCCGCTGAGAGCCAAAAGTGCGTAATATCTACGGCTCAACCTTGGGGTTGGTCAGCACGCACAGGACGATGGGGTCCCTGGTACATAGGATGATTGATCGTAGACGGAGTAATTGGAATACGAATGCTACATACGGAGTACCGAGTACTTGGTATCAAGCTGTAGCTGCAGCCGCAACGTTCTAGACGGCGAAATTGACAAGGATTCGATGGGGTATTTCATTCCAGTCGCCTTGGGTCCAAATGGTATGCGTGAAGATTGTCCATTATTGCCTGATTATGTCTGATAAGAACCGTCCGTTCGAGTCAGTACTTTCTCCAACTCTCACAGTAAGATTGAAACTGAACCCACTGAGCATGATCAAGCGGTAAAAATTAAGATTTCCAGGGTTGTCGACATGTCAGACGACTCAGTGGCATAAAAAGTACGGAGTACGGAGTATATGCATTGAAAATCACCTGTTGGATCTTTGGGGATCGTCCACATCCGGTTGGCGCCGAATTCATTATCTGAATGAGGGTCCAAACTCCAGAGCTAGCAGATAGTCGGGCGGAGCGACGTCGGAGAAATTCTCTCGAGGCTTTAACTGTAGTTGTCAGTTCATAGGGTGTCAGGTCACTTCTTTGCTTGCTATCAGATTCTTGGTTCGCGCTTTTGGCATCCTTGCGTGTAATGAATCAAGTAGCAGAGACAAGCGGACGACGAGAGGACATGCCAATGAGATTGTACGCGAACACTTTCCGACTTAAGGCTAAATGCTCAGCTAGAACGGTCGATCAGATCAGTCAGAGCCGTGATCCAGCACGAAAGGGGCTGGAGACGGAGCATGAACTCCAATTGTGGAACATGCCGCACGAGGTGCCAGCAGTAAGGGGTCCGGTTACGGTCATCAGTGCCAGGCTCACAGTGTGATGGATACGTTGTGTGATACAATATGCTTTCAGTCTTTCGGTTTGGCGTGTTGGGGAACCACGCGTCCAGTGATGAGACACGGAGTCAGTCTCAGCAAATGTAAGCAGTTCATGCATGCCGGAGCGGGAGGCGCCAGCACGATCGGCTCATTAGTCTAAAAAGTTAGGCACTCAGAAGTGTCAATAGCTTGAGCCACCAACCACTAAGATCCATTCGTCTCGACGAGTAATAATACGTCGCCTAAGATCTTCATAAACAGTTGAGACATGCGCAACTCTCAAAGATTCGATTGTTTACTGAAGTCGAACTTGAAGTACCGACTTGAACTATCCAGGGCAAGCCTGCTTATGACTCTTGACTTAGGACATCAATTGTGAAATTATGCTTGGGATGCAACGACGACAGACAGTAAGAAAGCAAGAATCTTAGAGTGACCCGGTATCGTCTTTAACTGGAGTTTCTTGAAGATATCCCGAGGTTGAGCAGACGAGGCTCGCATTTCCTTTGCTGGAGCTTTGCGTTTACCCGGATAGGGTTTAGTGGATCTCGTGAGCAGAGCTACCTGCTGTTTTGGGAAACACGCAGTACTCACTAATGGGGCAACGATTGACGCCGGGATTTGTCACGCTGCTATGTATGTACGGACGGAGTGCTGAGTACTGAGTAGATAGGACCCGGTACTGAGTCGTCAACGTCCTGCTCTGTCTACTCTGTGTTAGCAATTTCTGCGGGTTGATCGACGCGGTCCTGTATAAGACAGCGTATGGCTCAGGAGGAGAAAGGTAGAGACATTTGAGAGATCCCAAGTATGGCCCTTCTTTATCCAATTGGCATCATGACTACCTTACTCCGTGCTGTATGTATTGGCCGGTTCAAACTGCTGCTCTACAGTATCGGATGAGCAGCGAGAGCATGCATCTCGCTGTTGCAAAACCACAACAGCTCGCTACACGAGGGTGCACAATATTCCGAGAAAGGGCCTTTCCCCAATCAGACCCAAGTCATTGCACGTTTGATCGAGAG